CCTCTTGATGAAAGTGAAAGAGGAGAGTGAAAATGTTGGCTTAAAGCTCAACATTCAGAAAACTAAGATCATGGCATCTGATCTCATCACTTCACGGCAAATTGATGGGGAAACAGTGGAAACAGTGAGAGACTTTATTTTTGGGGGCTCCAAAATCACTGCAGATGGTGACTGAAGCCATGAAATTAAAAGACACTTGCTCCTTGGAAGAAAAGTTATGACCAACCTGGACAGCATATTAAAAAGCATAGACATTACTTTGCCAATAAAGGTCTGTCTAGTCAAAGCTTTGATTTTTCCAGTAGTCGTGTATGGATGTGAGAGTTGGACTATAAAGCAAGCTGAGGGCCAAAGAATTGATGCTTTTGAACTGTGGTGTTGGAGAAGACTCTTAAGAATCCTTTGAACTGCAAGGAGATCCAACCAGTCCATCCTAAAGGAAATCAGTCCTGAATATTCATTGGAAGGACTGATGTTGAAGCTGAAACTCCAATACTTTGGCCACCTGATACGAACAGCTGACTCATTTGTAAAGACCCTGATGCTGGGAAAAATTGAAGGCAGGAGGAGAAGGGGACAACAGAGGATGAGATGGTTGGATGGCATCACCAACTCAATGGACATGAGTTTGATTAGACTCCAGGAGTTGGTGATGGACAGGGAGACCTAGCATGCTGCAGTCCATGGGGTTGCAAAGAGTCGGACACGACTGAGTGACTGAACTGAACTAAACTAGCTGTGTATAATTTTCATCCCATAATATGGGTTTAGTACCTCTCATTAAATTCTCTTTTCAAGGTCAAAAGAACTTATAAGCGGATAAAAGGAAATACCTGTTCTGGGAGGTTAAGATGCTAAATAACATTGGAAGAATGCCAACTAGTCAGTTCTTTCAGAAAGTGTCTGAGCACATGAGAATTGTAAGCTTTAAAGATGCTCTCCTCTTAGACCAGCATCTTCCTTTCTGTTTCTCTAGTCAAAGGAAATGATGCTAAAAGTAGGAAAGAAAGTTTACAAAGCTACTCACTCTGGTCTTGTTGGTAATAGTAAATATTGGAAACAATGCAAATGTCACACGTTGATAGGGAGATAATAAGTAGCTCAGTTAAAATGTACAATTAGAATCTTTTTCTGCCACTGAATTATGTTCCAGAATATATGAAACGTTCAGAACTATTTTAAAACATTACATGATGAGCTCCTTAGCACACTCCAGCTGGGCTGTGATCCTCTCCACTCCACTGAGCTCCCTTCTAACCACCACCTTGCTAAATCCCGTGGTCCAGCCTCTTTCCCATCTCACTCAGTAGCACTTGCCACCAGGGGCCATCCCCTCCAACACTTTTTCCTCCAGACTCTCCTGCTTTTACCAGGTTGCCTGTTCTTCCTCAACCTCCTTCTTTCCTGGAACTTTATCACCAAGAGCACCTTAGGGCTGAGTCTTGGGTCCTCTCCTCAGCGCTATGGACTCTTCCCTGGAAGGTCTTGGTCCTATGGCTTTAAATAATACCCATAAGCTGATAACTTCCAACCATATCCTTATCAGAATTTTGTATCCATCAGAGGTAACCACACTAGTTCCCATCACTTTATAGGCATTCAAATATTTGTTAAACAAATGAATTTTATGAAAAAAGGAGCAGCATGCAAACTTTTCTAATCAATGTGTTCATAAGCAGGTAAAAGTGAAACAAAATACCCAAACATAGTAAAATGACCCAAACATAAAAAAAATATAAAATACCCAGAAGAAAATATATCCAAATGTTATAACCTCTTATACACATTCTATCCCCAGAATTAGTCACATGCCAACCACTAAAACTCTCATCTAAAATATCCCTGTACTAAATGGATAAAGAAGATATAGCGCACATGCGCATGTGCGCACACACGCACACACACACACACACATAATGGAATATTACTCAGCCATTAAAAAGAATGAAATAATGTCATTTGCAGCAACATAGATGGACCTACAGATTGTCATGCTGAGTGAAGTAAGTCAAACACACACAGAGAGAAAAATCATATAATATCCCTTATATGTGGAATCTAAAAAGAAGTGATACAAATGAACTCATTTACAAAACAGAAAATGACTAATAGACTTGAAAATGAACTTACGGTTACCAGCAGGGGGAAGAATGAGAGAAAGAGATAGTTTGGGAGTTTGGGATGGAAATGTACACACTGCTATATTTAAAATGGATAAACAACAAGTTTCTACTATATAGCACACTCTGCTCAATGTTATGTGGCAGCTTGGATGGGAGGGGAGTTTGAGGGAGAATGGATACATGTATATGGCTGAGTAACTTGTTTTCCACTTGAAACTATCACAACATTTGTTAATCAGCTGTATGCATATATAAAATTAAAAGTTTAAAATAAAATATCTCTGTACCATTCACTGCACTTATAATGTTATACTGTACCACTCATTTCATGCCGTTAAAAATTAGACTGATCAACAGATGAATGGATAAATAATGCAAGGTCTCTCTATACAATGAAATGCTATTCAGTCATACAAAGGAATAAAGTGATGATGACACATGCTACATACAGTTTAACCTTGAAAAATTATGCTAAGTGGAAGAAGTCAGACATACACAAAATATATGATTCCATTTGTATGAAATGTTCAGAAGAGGCAAATCCACAGAGNCAGGCAAACCAGGGAGCAGTCACCCTACTTGTAGGCAACTTCAAAGTAGATACTGAGGATTGCTTAAAATAGTGGTTCTTCACTCAATCAGAACATGTGCCCATTTTTTATAACATGTATTTAGCAAGGTCCCCTGTGCCATGCTAAATCAATATTTAAAACTAACCATCTATCTATATAATTCCAAAGAGAAAACAAATGTAAAACCCTAAGCAAAAAATTAAGGAGAAATAAAAAGAAAGTAAATTATAATAATATTTATTTCAATATAAAATTTCAATATTGAACATCAACAGATGTTCAAGTATGACTATATAAAAATGTAAATGCTCAGGCACATTAGAAGACATAACAAAACAGATGCCTGCACTGAGTCATATGCATGTTTGGATTTAAAGGTGAATGATCACAAAACACTGTATAGTCATGGAAATAAAGGAA